AAGTCGTATGTAAAGAACTTCTTTGCGGAAATCTTACATTTTTGCAAAAGCCTAATAATCGAATTTTTTAGGTTTACAATAGATGCTTATTAGCCTGTCATCAAGCTTGTTAATTGTGCTAGTAAGAAACTATTAAATAACTAATTTAGAAATATAATAGCATACATTGAGACTTTTATAATGATTATATTAAGTTTTATTAAACAATAATAAAATTATACTCTTTTTATTTATTGACGATATCATTTGCAATCTATTATAAACATATAAGCAACACAAGAGATCGCTATTATATAGTATATTGTACTAAAAGTTTTTTTTTCAAATTGCCACAAAGAAGAAGTCATTCCGGATATACTTATTATTAGTAACATCATGTTGTTGAAACGAACAGTTTGAATTACAATAGTGAATAAAAGGAACATTTGACGAATGTAATACTGTAGAAATTGGATGAACCCGATCCAAAGAATTATGTTGAATACGATATACTGGACAATCTAATAAAGATTCCTGTTCATTAAGATCTTCATCCAGTCAAAACAAAGAAAAACATATTCTTGATTATTATTCCATAAATGTTTGATTATACTCATTATTTTTCCAAATTGCATTTCGCTTTCTTCAAATCGTGTAACTTTAACTATTTCGCCAACTTTTAGTTTCACATTATGATAATTGCCGGCAGGTTTAAGAGTTGTATATGACACGTTTTCATAAAAGTGAACTCGTGTTTCCAACAAAGCTTGCTCAAACGAGTAGTATGATGAGTATGCCTTCATTATATCCTCAAATAAACTGTTAGTTTCAATATTCGTTGATATAAATCCAGCTGCTTCTACTTGATTTCTACTCCATCTTATCCCTAGTTTTATTTCCAAACAATTGAATAGCTCAGAATTGGTAATAGAGGTTGAATTATCTAAAAAAAGTTAAATATTTGTAAGTATATAATGTAAAAAAAAAAGGAAAAAAAATTTTTATTCCGGTTTAAAGTTATCCAACTACATAAAAATATTAGTGTTGATTATGTTCACGTGATGGTCACTATAGCTTATCAGATAACTTTAACCCGGGTGAAAATAAAAGAACTATAATATTTATTTTTACCCTCAATTTGTAATTGATTGGTCGGATAAGCTATAGTCGTTAATGCACCAACCGGATAATAAATGATGAAGTCGCGGTGCAATAATCAATGGCATAAAAATAGATCGTGTTGAATAATGGGGTATTTGATCATCTATTCCACCATCTACAAGATGCCTTAAAGTTTGCAATGTATTAATTTGCTGTAATAAAATAAGTTCCAAATTATGTTTATTGGTGTGCGGAACTATTGCTTTGAATATTCAGTGCACCATTTCCTTGGTGCCAACTGCTGTATTTGTGCATGTCGCATATTGATGTGCGTGATCTACTAAATGGCGACTTATATGTAGATTAGGAAGATTCTGAAAATTATTTGGGAAAAGCTTATAATAAAATAAGTTATTGTTTTTATAATTTAATTTTATTAACATTAATGGCAGTAAAATTATAACAAAAACTTGTGTAAATTATTTAAAAAAATGAATTATAAATATGTACCTTAATTAAAGCATTAGGTTCATTATTCAAAATAGTTCGTAGATAAGAATATCCATTAGATCGTCGTATAGTTAAAGAAAACACTTCTTTAGCTGTCTTAGCACAAAGTACCCATGTATGAATAATATAATCATGTACTTCTGATCTATGAGAAAATCGTAACCTATCACGTGTAGAATTTAAAAAATTATCCTTGATACTATTGATAGTCAAACAACGTTTTAAGATAAAAGGAAAAATCATAAGAATCCTTAAATTATCAGACATCATAAATGAATGTCGATGAGTAATTGAATTTGGTAAGCGAGACCATCATGCTGGTGTTTCAAAGTTTTTCCAATAATTGATCAGATTATTCTCTCCAGTTAATGTTAATATTGAATAGGTACAGTTAAGCAGCCGGGCTATTTTTCCCGCAATTGCATGATATGCATCTTGCGGTACATGCAAATGACGGTCATGCAAAATTGGATCTAATGGTCCAGATGATAGTTGTAATCCATATTGAGAGCCAAGTCTCGATTTTGCATTTTTTGAAGTTTGTTGATTTATAAGTTGAAATTCTTGGTCAGTAATTTGATGGTATTGGCCGCAATAATAAATATCAAATGTAAGGTTTGTTAATTGATCTTTGGTTGCTTTGCATGATCGGCAGCCTCGATATACATTATAGCGTAATGTTCCAGCGATGTCATTTCCCTGAGGCAAATCTGAAGTAAAAACATCTAATCCACCTATTATCCAATAATCGGTTCCATTTAAATTCATTACAAAACCTTCTTCAAGTTTTTTTATTTCCTCAAGAAAAGGCTTAATAAAGTCTTAGATTTTTCCTCCAAAAGGCACAAATCCGATAACGAAGTGGTTGCATAGTTGTTTTCTCATTCTACGTGGCATATTACCGATTTGTAGATAAATGGTACCTAGAGAGTAATATACATTTCGGAAGGTACCGAAGTTGTCATAATACAAATCCAAGAAGAATTTTAGCACTAGCATATTTGGATGAGGTGGTGGATTTGTTGTTATATATTCCGCTGGATGTTGATTTCGAAATTTAATAGAACGGCACTTCCAAGACCCATTAAAATAATATAAAATTTCGTTAACAGATAAGTCAAAAAATGGCGGAGGTGGCTGATCCTTAAGCCAGACTACAATTTTCTCTCCCGTGTTCAAGTTGATCTGGTTGGATTGACATTTCAGCCCGTTAATGAGTACAAATATATCTGTCATGTTTGTGACCATTTTACTCGGTTCTCTTGGGCCCGATGTCTCACAAGCAAGCGTGCCTATGAAGTAGCAATATTCCTATATGATATTTTTATAGTATTTGGGGCTCCTATCATTTTACAATCAGATAATGGTAAAGAATTTACCGCTGATCTTATTTCTGAACTAATGGCCCTTTGGCCAGGTGTACGTATTATTAATGGGCGCCCCAGGCACCCACAATCACAAGGAATGGTTGAAAGGGCCAATGGAATTCTGCAGGTTAAGCTCGGAAAATGGATGGAAGATAATCAAACAAGTAATTGGACTGAGGGATTACCATTAATTATACGTATGTATCAATACAGTAACTGCTAATAT